AAAAACATACCTTAAGAATCCTTCTGAGGCGGCTGTTTTGAATTTTCCTTGCTATTATTCACGATAAATCACGATCGTACAGAAGCAGACAGACGTTGGCAAAATGACGGCTGCAGGGTAAGGGTGAAGTAAAATGTTTCGCTGGAAAGAATAGCTTAAGGTTAGCACCCAGAAAAGCCACGTAAAAGCTAAAGTGAAACAAATTGAGAGACATCACGAGTAGAGGCAGGATGTGGAATATGGAGAAAGGCCAATGAGCCACATTTCACAAATCGTAAGAAGGCGAGTTATTGATCAAGAGCGCCGAATGGTATAGAATATTGGAGACGGATATACTGGAGATGCGTAGCGAGGGTGGCGTAAAGTTTGAAAACATACTGAATTCGCTAATGGAGGAGACGGTGCTCGAAAAGAGTTGCGTTGCGCAGGGCCAAAATTTGATGGAGTGCAATAGCGTAAATCACATACCGGATCTCTCGCAAGGCTTCATGATCAATAGTACAGAAAAAATTACAAGAAATATAGGCCGTGTGGATTTGATGGGTCCATTTGACTGGCGAACCGAGCAGAAGAAACCAGGCGCGGATGACGAAATGCCAAAATTTGGCCGCTCGGTCACAATAGAATGAAAGATGGCGCTCTGTATCGACAGCAGCAGAACAATTGTCGTGCAGGAATTACATCACTTTCGGCGGGAGACTTTGTAAAAAGGAAAATCGCGAAACGATCGGTAGTAGAAAAAGCATGAGCCGAATTGGCGATCATGAAATACAGGAAGCAGGTTCGGCAAATTTTTTGGTCGAATTCGACAACAACCGAAACCGTATCGGCTTCGGTCAAATTCAAAATACTGGTAATTGGGTGAAAACTAATTTTTTGGAATAGATTCTCTTACTACCGCTCACAAAACGTGCGTCGGAATGTAGGCCGTAAGGAAAAATGGTTACAACGACAAATTTCAACAGAGAAGTAAGTCGGCCAACAGCAACCGGATTGAACGGTAAATAGATCCATAGCCATTACCGTCACTTGAGATAAAAGCATTGCTATTCCTTCATATAGTGCCCGCAGCTACTTTTGCGGGCAAGATACAGGAAAAAAAAATGACCCGGTCGGTTGTAAAGTGGTCTCCAAAGTCGGCGAGAGAGAAGAAACCGATGGAGTGGGTAAACACATTAGCTAAACAACGAAGGCCGTACTTATCCGCAAACGAAAACAGCATTGTAGAGATGGTCTAATTGTAACGGGGCACCCTTTGTTTGGGGTTCGTGTAACGGGCTACTCCGTTACACTAATGGCCTGTACGAGCCCGCGAAATTGAATTGCAGACGGGATTGACACTTGAAACAGTGGATCACAAAAAAAAACACCGACTGGTTCAAGAGATGATAGTCTCTAAAGGCCATTATTAGGTCAGCCAACCTGACTGGCCACAAATTTGCTGATTAAGTTATCGGCGAGTAACGCCACCAAGAGGTAGAGGCGTACGTAAGCATTGGAACGGAGCAGATGATAGGTTGTTATAAGAAGATCTAAGGGGAGAACTGCACGACAAAGCTGCAAGGGTTCGGAAAGAAGGATGGTCGTGGGGGTAGACCACTCAAATCCGGCAGATGTTATTGTTGATGGTATATAATGTTGAGGGATGGGGACAAATTAATGTCTGAATGAGCACAGCCAGCTGAGGAAGGTTGAGACGCCCTGACTCGAAGAGAGAGGGGTCAAACCACGTTACACAAAGCGAACATAAAACTTATCAGGCTTTTACGGCGATAAAGAACACAACTTTAAACAATTGATGCCAGCTTATGACATTAGACTCGGGAATATCAATTTAAGCCGTAAAGTACCACTTGCTTCAGAAGACGACAGAAAAAGCAAGTATCGAACGCCCTTTAAGTGTGCGGGCGCTTTACATCAAATCTGTCATAGTTGGACGATACGCATGTCAATCTGCGCCAGTTGTAAAGCCAAAGAATATCTTTGACCAAACAATACGCCAAGAAATTTAGCACGTTCATAGGACAAAAGGCCTGGGATACCTTGAAGATATGTATGTACTTTAACTATGTTGAAGGTAAGAGTCTGACACTTGTCACGATTAAGTACATCGCCGATCCAAAGCAGTAACGATATACCAGCTGAAGTTGGCAGTCTGCAACAGTAGGAGACCGTGCCAGGAGAGTGGAGTCATTCGCATAGAAGGTGGTAGTCGGGCGAAAAAATGCTGAGATGGTAATCACCAAGTCCGTCTCAGAACGTAGTAAATTATACAGCGGCTCGTTAAATATTAAAAATTAGATGATGAACTGCGGGTCACCCTACTTGACCCCCCAGGTGACGCCTCCCAGTACCAGCAGTATTCTTTTAAGCACCAAACAGGCCTCAGGATTACGGAACAGCATCTCATTCTAGAAGAATAACTGATGACTAAAACCTTACCGAGAAAGAATTCCGAACATGTATGCCCAGTCCACGCGGTCGTAAGCCTTTTGAAATTGTAAAACACCGCGATATTTAGTTCATGCGGTTTGTGCAATAAGTGCTGTATATCACTAAGAATCGTATGTGATAATGAGTGGACCATCCACAAATAATCAATTTTGATCAGCGTGTGATTAATTTTTTGTGAGTTGTCGCATCTGATAAGTCAAAGCGCTAATGAAGCTTTTGGCTTCAAGTTAAATCATAGAAATGGGCCGTTTATTGCCAAGTTCAGAGCGCGATCCCGACATGTGCAGGTGCAAAACAGCCTCTTTTCGTTAAATAAAGGAGCAATGAACAACGCTGGAACTGGTAACGAGATGCGATTGAAAAAAAATTCACCAAAGACGTCTAGGGCGATTTTATCATAAGCCTCCGACAACCCATTAGGCCCTGACGCAGACGAAAGGAGAAGATGGCAAAATGTATGTGCCAGCTTTCAGCAGTAAAAATTTAATTGAGTTAGTGTGTCTGCTAGGGGATTAATCCGCTCTATCGAGGCTAAAAGTTGGTCTTGGCGCCTCAATCAATATCCAGACGCTGCATTGAGAAGCGTGAAAAACCTGAAAAAGAATCTCAATGGATGCAAAAGATATCCATAACCTTGGTAGGCTCTGTAAACTCTCTACAGTTTAAGCTTAATGCAATTTTATCGGTACGCGGCGAAGATCCGACCGTGGAGGCCTAAAAAACGGCCATCAGAAGGTCTCATTGTTGCTTGCGTGGGTATCGAATCCTTTGTTCTGACGAAGCTCACGATATTATTGTTGATGAAATGACAAACTAGCGTGCGCCCGATTGAGCTGGTCCCGAGCTTTCATGCTACTTGATATACTTACTCATTCTCCGTAAAAGATACAAGTTGTTGAGCCAATGAAAGCTCGCGAGTGCTATCACCTCGAATCCGTGATTTCACACCTTCTGAAGTCTCGTGGGTTATGCGTTTCTATTCTTCCCATACCAAGCCAGGATTTGTACATGAACAAATCGTACATAGCAATTAAGCTTCCTTGTCGGTGGTGGCAGTCACAATTTCCGAGTAGTCGAGGGACCGCTGAGAAAGGCGCCAAGCTTGACCCTTCACCCGTAGCGACGTGGCAAGAGTCAAAAATTAGAGGAGGGATCCCCATCATAGGAGTGCTCGAAGTAAGAAGCAGCTGAATAATACTTGTCCACGAGCAAGGAGTCAAGAAAGATGTAGCCGAGACGCTTGACACGAGGTAACGGTCCGCTGTAGACTTTCTTTCGTCTTGATGACGTTTAATACAAGGGTCATCCACACCAAGCTTAGCTTGAAATGTCACGCATGTTTCTGTTTTGGCTTTCTATCGAAAGTAGTGGGGCAAATTAAATCACCGAGTCTCTTGTGACGTGCACTTTTTGAATAGCGTTGGCCTGCACGAGCCGTACAGAATCTCATCTTCTCTTGACTTCCCCATGGCGCATCTACGTTACGGAGAAAATAGAAGACATCACTGAATTGTGTGGCAACGACAAGATAACTGCCTGGTATCGTCGTAGTAGAGATAATGTAGACAAGAGACGTGCCCGAAATAACTGAAACGATAGAATAGTCATCACTACCGCACGAGGGTGGGTAATCATTGGTAGAATACGTATCATTATACTTTAAAAGCGGTTGGTTCAAACCTAAAGAGAACGTGTAAATCCTAAAAAGGACATTAGCAAATATAAACAATGGGCGCGGTGCAAATCAAAATCCGAACAAAAGAGTCGGGACATAAGTTGGAAGCAGCGGCTTTATAGCAGGCGGAGGTGTCCTATTTTATGAGAAACGCTTGGGTTGTCCATGTTGAAGCACAACAGCAATTAAATGGATTAAAATGACAAGTAAAAACTTGAATGTCTTGAAGCCATTCCACAAGGGAAACAGTATCTTGTATAGCTTGAATAGACGTGAAAATTCTTAAAATTTTTAAAGCTATTCCGCAAAGAAAATGTAGCGGAGCTACACAGCCCTTTAAGTCAGAGGAAGACTTAACGTTCTACGAGCAACTTAGTTCTAAAGAACTAACGACTTTACGAGTCAACAAGCTTTACAGCTTCAGATCCCTGTTCCAGGGGACCTAACGATTCAGTGAATCGACAGCACTTAGTGCTCAAGAGTAGCTACCTCAAGGAGGTGTTGCTAACTCTTAGTGATCAGAGATCAACGATCAAGACGGCTCGCAAGCCACGTGTCTTTCAGATCAAAATGGGAACTGATTTTATTTTTGTTAAAGCCTATAGAATATCTTAATCCTACTCAAAGATCTTTCGTATCTAATGGCTGACACTCGTCAGCCCCTACAAACCGATAAGATATTCTATATCACCTTCACAGAAGGGTACCCTCAGGTGTGTAACACCTCTGGTACAAAGTACCATAATTTCGTGCAACCCCGTTACACCCTCCCCCACCAGACTGACGTTTGCCAAAACGTCAATCGAACTTGTGTTCTCAGCGAGAACAGTGCGCGTACGGTGAACCTCACGGTAACGTACGCTCCAGCACGATGTCCTCATCAATAAACGAGTCAAAGGCTCTGTGTGACTACCTCGGGATAGAGGAGGAGGTGGACTATGGTAGCGATACCAGTGTCCGCGGTGATACAGGGACAATTTCCGGCTCACTGATGCCTGAGGCACAATTTTCGAACACCCCAAATCCGTTCGCTGAACGTGGAGGTGCGAGCGCCACCAGCGCAGCGTGCAGCATCTGGGTCTGATGAGACTATCATCACGAACCCGCTCGATGAGCAACAACAACTGCTTGTTCAAAGAGAAGAAAACGCTCAGCGTTATGTACAAATGGCTGCAACCCTTGAACGCCAGCGTGATTATGTGTTCACCCCACCCAGTGTGGAAGAACATCTACGTCAAGCGGCCGGCCAAACATGGCAACGTGGGTCATTGGCCATGGGCCTAAGACTCCCGAGGAGGTGATGAGCTGCCAGGCACTTCGTGAGAGGTACCTGGAGCCGCACCTAACGACTCAAAGTCAATAAAAGGCACGCCTTGACATGCAAGCACGTGGTGCACCGGTTCCACCGATCAAGAGTGTACCTATTCTCCTGCTCGCAGGCGAAACAGTGAGCGAAGAAGAAGATGCATTTGCTCACTGGGTGCACTATGTGCGTCGCCTCAGCAACATTTTTGCTCTAAGGGCTAGTGCCAGTGTGGCTGACGTGCGTCTTGAACGCAAGCTTCGGTATGATTATGCCAAGCTTAAGGCCAGAGGCCAATTGCGCAAGCGCACGCGCTATGCTTCGGCTACTAAGGTAGCCGCGAGTGCTGGTCAGTCTGTGGCCAACAACCCGCCAACCCGCACCACTAGTGGTGGGGAACTGCCTCGGTCTCGAGATGACCATGGCCACGATGCTCAAAAGCCTTTAAAGCATATGGGCAGTCTTGCCGAAGGGGCACCTCAAATTCCCATGAGTTTCAAGACTCAGGGTACCCACGCCACTTTACCAGATACTGGTATTGGCCCTGACGACGACGTCGTTTCAGTAGTCTCTCGACATGAAATTGGCGACACCCATGCTCATCGAGCAAAGTCGGTGGCGGCCGGTGTACCGGTGGAGGCCCACGAGAAATTGGTTCTCGAAGTGGAGGGTCTTCAAGAGGCCTTGGGTAAGTCCCAGTGCATGCTGGATGCGATGCAAAGCCGCCTTTAGGCGATGCAGCAAGCTCAAACTCGGAGCGAGGCTCAGTTGGACTTGCTGATTCGTCTACAGCAATCCGGGGAAGTGCCCTTGTCGTCGGCGCAAGCGCCTCCAAGTTCACATGGGAAGGATCCCGGTACGGCTTTAGTAAGCCTACGTAGAACACTGGATGTGTGCGCAATTTGCGCGGGAGGTTTAGCGTATACGCAAGTCCCTTCTTGGCCGTAACCGTAAACGGTCCAATAAAGCGTGGACGCAACTTAGTCTTAGAGGCAGCAGACAATACATTTGTAGGTAGATTTTTAGCATTGAGTAGTACTTGGTCTCCGACCTCATAACGTTCAATACAATTTCTGCCTTTGGCATCAGCTTGTTGTTTTTGGGTATCTTGGCTATCAGCCATTGCGTCACGCACATGTCTTAAGACATTAAATCGCGTTGCGAGAAGCTCGCCTACCTGTTTTTGAACAGTAGCAGGGCTGATATCAGCAAGCCGATCGGCAACCTCTCCCCCACCAAGCCCTGATTCACGTAGTGATAGCGTTAACGGAACGCGAGGGTGAGTGAGGCCGTTTATATAGAACGGAGTAAAGCCTGTTGAGGCATGAACAGCGTTATTCAACGCAAACTCAACAACAGGGAGCATTGAGCTCCAACGCCTAGGCGTATCAGCGCAAATACTGCGCAAAATGTCGTTGATGACGCGGTTTACACGCTCAGTTTGACCGTCGGTCTGCGGATGATCCGCTGTAAACATGTCCAACCGAGTGCCAAGCACCTTGAAGTAGACTTCCAAAAATTCCCAGTGAAGCGGGGGTCTCTATCAGAGACAATCGACACAGGCAAGCCATGTTGGAGAAACACACGGTCGATAAACAGCTTTGCTGTACTTTCAGCATCGATTCTATCCGGCCCAGCCACTAAGTGAGCCATCTTGCTTAATCGGTCAACAAAAAAAAGACCACAATACCCGTGTTGCCTTCCGAATCTTTCGGTAGGCCAAACACAAAATCCATGCTCATGGACTCCCAACAACCAGTGGGTACTGGCAAACTAGCCAGCGGCGCCGCCGCATGTGCCGAGGGTTTTACCCGTTGACACGTTTCGCACGTACGCACATAGGTGCGCACCCACTTATAAAGTTTGGGCCACCAATAACTTTGGCTCACCGAGCTATAAGTCTTCTCACGACCGAGATGACCACTTAAAGCAGTATCATGTGCCTCATAGAGGATCCGATACTTTAATTCCTCATCATGAGGTACAGCGATACGAGGCTTATCCTCAATATTCGTGCGATAGCACAACAGGTTATTATCGATGGAATATCGATGTAGCTTTGCACGTAAACGTGCCGTCAATTCTATGTCCGAGTCTTTAAACTCGTCGTTTCCAAGAGCACGTAGCAAAGCTACACACTGATCATCCTTGGCATATGCCGCACGAATTAAGTCAGGGACTGACGACGACAGAGTCGTAACATGAGCAAGCTCATAGTCAGGTCGACGCGATAGCGCATCAGCCAAAGCATTTTGCTTACCTGGCTTGTACTTCACCTCAAAGTTATCTTCGGCAAAGAAGGAAAGCCAACGAGCCATTCTTTTCAGCAGCTTTCAGCTGCCGAGACTCGAATGCGATGACGCGTTCGCGTCCGTCGACATCTGTTTGTAACATAGCACTGCCTATGGCATAGTCAGATGCGTCACAGACGACACTGAAAGGCCAACCAGAATCGGGCAAAGCCAAAATTGGCGCATGATGGAGACTCTGCTTAACTGCTTCAAAAGCACTATGTTCGGTGTTACCCCAACACCAATCCACATCCTTTTTAAAGAGATTGGACAATAGCCGAGCCATATCGGCGTAATTCGCACTGTACTTATGTAAGTAATTGGCAAGGCCAAGCCACTTACGCAAGTCCTTTTGGTTCTTGGGAACCGGCCAGTCGAATATGGCTTTCACCTTAGCGGGATCCGCTCGAAGGCCTCGCTTCCCAATGAAGCACCCTAGAAAGGGAATCTCTTCTGCACCAAAGATGCACTTCGATGCGTTAGCATACAACTTATTCGTTCACATACACTCGAGCACAGCTCGTAAATGATCAATGTGGTTATCCGCATCTGATCGCCCATTCATTGCACGACTATGGACAAAAATGTCATCAAAGTACGTTTGTGCATAGCCTCGATGAGGTCTGAATAGTTGCGTTACCAGCCGGTTAAACGTAGCCGGGGCGTTAGATAGCCCTTGTGGCATAACAAGCCATTCCCAGAGCATACCGCTCGGAGTACTCACCGCTGTTAGCGGAATATCGCTTGCTCGCATAAGCAGTTGGTAGTAACCATCGACTAAGTCGAGTGCACTGTACAATGTACATCCTGCCATATTGTTCTGAAGCACATCCTTTCTAGGAATAGGCGTCTGCGCCGGTATAGTGGCTGCATTAAGCTTATTATAAGCATGCACAATACGCAACTTGCCATTTGGTTTTTTGACACAAAATGTCGGTGTTGAATGGGGAGACTTGCTCTCACGAACCATTCCAGCCGCGTGCTTAGAACGAAAGAATTCGTCAATGACGTCACACTGTTCTTTAGGCAAAGGCCACTGCCGTGTTACACAGTATTTAGTTCCAGGAACTTAGTCAATCTCATGACGTACACCTCTATCGGGAGGTAAGGCAGAAGGTGGGTTGTGACACACCACATCTTGAAATTCCTTAACTAAAGGATAGAACGGATCCAAAAGATCTTTAAGGATGGAGGATCCACTTCGTGCACTAAGTGCCGCCTTTGTATCCTCTAGGACAGACTCATCCATTAGCGAGGAAGAATTCAACTCAGTATCAGGTCTAATGACCGCTAACTCGGATAACTCTCCTGCCTTCAAGGCCTGGCTAAACTCGCCATCAGACATTTCGTCTAGTTCACAAAGAGCCACCACAGATGGAAGGGTTTCAAGGAAAACACTGCCATCAACCTGCCAGTCAATCCATTAACAAGTGTATATATTGTATTACTACTATCAATATGTGACGGTGAGGACGCCTGGCGCTTAAAAGTTGCTACCCGGCGTCTCGATCGTCTCTTCGCGACCTTACACCCCTTAGGGGTCGGGACAATATTGTCCCCATGGTTACTACCAACCATAGTACGCTCTATACGAGAGCTTTTGTCTTGACCGACTTCCGGTGAAGTGTTACGCAACTCGAGCACTTCACCCAGTGGATTGAAACGTGCCACTCCACGTGTATTATGCGGGCCTAGCCCCAAATTTAACGGCGTCTCGCCAATAAGGTCATTACCGACATTAGGTGTGGTGCCCTCACGGCCGTCCACACTATACGGCGTATCGCCAACAGTATCAATCTTACTGACATAAGGTGTGGTGCCCTCACGGCCGCCCACACTATACGGCGTATCGCCAACAACGCCATTGCCGGCGTTAAGCGTGGTGCCCTCACGGCCGTCCACACTATACGGCGTATCGCCAACAATATCATTATTGACATTAGGTGTGGTGCCCTCACGGCCGCCCACACTATATGGCGAATCGCCAACAACGCCATTACCGACGTTAAGCGTGGTGCCTTCACGGCTGCCCACACTAAATGGCATATGGCCAAAAATGTCATTACCGACACTCAGTGCGGTGCTCTCACGGCCGACCGCACTCGGTGTAGTTTCACGTGCCACCATACACACATCAAATGAATCACATCCTTGATCACTCGGCCCTAGACCAACCATGCTTTCAGCATGCAGTGACTCGTTATCACAACGAGTACCACTCAACGGAGTACGTGCCGTTTCACTAGTTTTAGACGAGCTAGGCTCGAAACTTATGTTTGTAACATTGGAGTTAGATAACTCCGACATTCCAATGTCCAGCACATTGACATCTTCTGTCAAAGGCTCGCGCCAATAGCGCTTCCGTTGCCTAGCGAAGGTGGGTTCATGACTCTCCAAAGCTTCGCTAGGAACATTGCGCGTGGCGCCTAAGGTCTTAGACCTCCAATCAATACATGGCTCATGGCGCTCAAGCCAAGCCATACCTAGTAT